AGCGATTTGGGGTGACTGGGTTCAGTGTGGTCCGGGTCTGGTTCAGGTTCAGTTTAAGGCTTATTTGGGATTTGCCAATTGCTGGTGTAATGCTGCAACTCGCTTGCCATGAGGGTATGCATAGCGCAGCCCGCCAAGCCAGAAGGCGACACGCGATGACCTTCAATCCACTGCACTGTAATTGCACACCACGATACATCACTGGAGCCTTTGAATTAAAGAATTCAACGATCATAAGTAAGGTGTTCATATTGCTAGTTTCTAGTGTGGTCGGAATGATTCACTTTTTCTGTGTTGTTTGCACCACCAGTACTTGGCCCATACATCGGCCGCAGGCCCTTGAATCCTTGATGTTAATGGGCCACTTAACCGGGCTTGGGGGCTACCGGACCACAATGGCTGGCAGTGTCAGCCAAAAGAATGCACTAGACCACATTGGCTGGCGGTGTCAGCCAAATTGAAGAGAAAAAAGGCGGTGTCAGCCAATAGAAAAAAGAAATGTGGGCGGCTTGACAAAGCTTGGTGCACAGGGCAGGGCATTTGGAGCCCAGAAGAAAGTGGCCCATAAGTTTGGAGCCCCACTGGTGAGTCTGGTGGTTTTAACCACCAGTACCATGAGTATGTTGTTTCCTCCGCAACTTTTGGGGCACGGCCTACCAGAGTGCGGGCCCAAAAAGAAAGGTGTCGCTTCTTTCTTTTGGCTTGCAGGGCATTTCTAGGCTCGGCTAGGCAAGGGTGATATTCAAGTGGTTCATAGTATTTCAACAGTTCACAGGTGTTCCAACTGATCTATGGCCATTGGTAATGACTCACTATGCCATCACTGATTGTCTACTGCGTGGGCGCGGGGAACGCAGCCCTAAGGTTGCCAAAGCAATGAGACTAAGAGAGAGAGAGAGAGAGAGAGAGAGAGGCTGAATGACAAAATTAAAATATGGGTTAAATTGTGGCCGCGATCTATTTTACTGTTGGAATGATTTTTTTTAATTTATTTAGCATTTTTCTTGGAAAGATCACAACAAAATCTACGAGTATGCCAATTTTCAGGTTTTTTCACACATTCTTTTGGGCGCGAAAACTCAGTACTTTTTCAGTTGGCCCAGACATGGCTGAGTGACAAAAATGGAAAATGTGTCCAATTGGTGCGACAATCATTTTGTGGTCTAAATGATTTTTTGAAAATGTTCTAATATTTCTCTTGGAAAAAACACACTGCAGCCTCATCTATGGATTCTCAAAATTTCAGATTTTTCTGCGGATTCCTCCGAGAACAGAAAATCGCCAAAGTTGCCTCTTGCTAAACGGCTGTTTCGTTGCGCCTGACCTCCCTGTTTTGAGAAGACGGGCCTCAACGCCCGGGCCTGAGGGCCCTTTTGCAGTTCACATGCCCTCACTTCTTTTGGGGGTCTGCTTCCACCCGAGGACCGGTCCTTCCTTTTCCAAAAGTCCCGGTTCTACAAGAGCTAGCTGTAGGTAGTCTGCAATATCTTGAAGGACCGGTCCCCCAAATTCCCCCCCCCTAAGAACCCACTTGCATCGTGGTCGTCCGCCGCCAAAAATGCGACACCTTGACACAGACGCCGAAGCCCACTATACCGCAGCCTCAGGGCTGCGAACGATGGGCCTCTTTCGACACCACTTGAAAATAGTAGAGATTATAGGGTGCCCTAATTGAGGGATTGTGATTAAATTCCACAACCCCTAGACATAGCCCTCGAAATCGCCACTGTAGAGCATCAGGTGCCGACGACAAGGTGTCAGACCCCCGCCTCCTCGGCTCCATGCAGAGCAGAGGGAGACAAAAATTGGTCCACACGGGTTGGGGCCCATGGGACGGCATGTCCATGTGAGTGAAGCGCCCCACTTTCGCGAGGTGGGGCACGTGACGAAAGAAGGTGGTGGAATCTTAGGCGCGCATGCAGAGTTCAATGAATTCGAATTTCGTTCGCCATCGCCCTAACAACACCCTGCACCTCCAGATTCCCCCGTTGTGATATCGCTGCCACGAAATGGGCCATCAAACTTTCTCGTTGTCCCACTGTTGGTATTGTGTCGTCGTTATCCTCATTGTGGAAGCGACGTGTGAGCGACGTGCGTGTGCGTTGATAGATCGGTCCAGGCTGGTGAAGGAGAAGCGCGAAAGAGAAGCGATGGAGCACGCTGACGTCGAGGGTACGGAGGCGAGGGCACTCACAGCATGGGAGAGGAGTCACTGCTTGGCACGGTGTTCTTTGGACCCTTTCTCCGCACAGGCGCTCTGCTGTAGAAGCGACCGTCAACAACGCCAGGAGAAGGAAGGCCAGCAGAGCAATCTTCCTCGCGAGATCTGCCACGCGCACGCGTCAGCTGTGGAGATGTCAAAACACAAACCCCATCCGCTTCGTATGCGACAAGCCGGCCACCCTCAGGTCCACAATTTACATTTCCCACCTGGATGGAAGGACCCACCTCACCACTGGGCAGGTAGCTGTTGAAGTGCAGCAGTGCGGTAGAGAAGTGAGACAATGTGGTGGTGCTGCAACCCAGCCGGCACAGGAGTTCAAATTCGATGGGGGGGCACCAACGGCCATCTGCCGGCGCAGCATGCAGATCCCTGGCCCCGCGTGCCAAAGGTCACACCGACGAGCCAACGGCTGGGAAACGGCAGTATTGGGTACCCCTTCGGACTGGCCCGACCAGAACAGTCGCACATTGGGGGTCAGACAAGTCCAGATTGTACCACGAACAATGCCGGTTTCAGCAGGAAAAAATAAAATAAAATGAAATCCCCGTCAATGATGCGTTTTTCGTAGGGTGGCGTCCTTCACCCTCTAGTGACCTCCCCAGCCGCCCTCGAGATTTTCTGCGTTTTGGCTGTGAGTGTAAGAGAAGTTGGGGCGGACCCTACACATCTGCAATGTGGAAACATTTTGGACCTCAAAATTGTCGTCATTAGTGCGATGCGGAAGGGCACGGGTGCGCAGCCCGTAGTTCGTTTGTTTATGTGGTTTCGGAAGGGTAAGGTAGTGATTATGGTGTATGTATGTTTTGTCATGTTTGTGTGAGTGCA